TTCCTGGAGGACGAGACCATTGAGCTGGGACTTGAAATTCAGGGAAACCCACGGTGGGGACAGTGAGATTCTTCTTAATGGAGAATGCTGATGAGGTGCAACCTGTGTTGAAATGCATGAAATGTTTCTGGAACCAGGCATTTGGATTCTCCTACCTGCTGGCTGTGTGACTTTGGGTTAGCTACTTAACTTCTCTGAGTTTCAGTTTTTTCATCTGTAAAATTGGGACATAATCACAGTGCTGACACATGATAAATGTTAGATATCATTTTATATGACTCAAGTAGTGAGAGCTCATTACTAACTAAAGCAATATTAACAAGCAAAAAAGCATTCAGATGGCACACTGACATTGGCTTCAGGGGCACTGAAGCTCATGTGGAAACTGTTTGGAGCCCCTTTCTCTACTGGAGGTGAGGAGAAAGTCCTTGGCAGGGGGTAGTGAGACTCATAGCACCTTCTGATACCAGTTTCCTGTTCCTCCCTCCAGTGGCCACTCCAATTTAGCTGTTTTATGCCCTTGAGCAAATGAGGGACCAAGAGAGGGAATCTGTTTTTTTTGCCCCTTGATTTGCAAGTCCTGCATGAGGCATCACACACGTTGGGGTTGGGGAGTCATCACACTAATGCTCTTAGCATCCGCCAACACTGACACCAGCGCGCAGGTTACTCCTGCTCTCCAAACTCAAGAGACAAATGTTCTCAGATAAAACTTTTGATAAACCCCATGCTATCTGAAATTTTGCTATTCACTATCGCAAACTAAGGAAATGAACAGAGTAGGATAAAGTGGTATCCTTACCAGCTGAATTTCCTGTCTGAACTCCTGCTACATGGATAAAGAGCCGGACAGATTTGGGGGAGGGATGGTTGCCGTTGTTTTACCATCACAGGGTGGCTGTGAGGGCTGACTAAGATAACGTGTCTGGCATGGCGTCTGGCCTGGGTGGGCATTATTCATTCCAGAGGATAACGACGTGCGAGGTGAAGCCGTAACCATCCTTTCGTTACGCAGAAACAACGGCAGAAAAACAGCTGTAAATTCGCCAAGTGACCACCTTCTCTGTTTCACAGAGTTGCCCTGATACAGAGGTATTGCAGTAATCAGATTAAATCACTGTTTTCCTTCCTGCTTGCCTGGAGCTGAGGGAGGGCATCTGACTCTCACACAATCAGCTCCCTGCGGTCCCCCTGACACGGGTATTCCTCCTGGACACTGTGCACCTGTGATCCCGGACGTTAACACGGGAAGCCCTTTATCCTGCCCCGTGAGCTGCGCAAACCCTTCCTTGGCATGCAGCACATTGCTCTCATAGGAAAAGGACAAGTATCTTTCTAAAAAGCAGAAGGAACTTGTAATGAATTCAAAGTGAGAGAAAAATCCTCGTTTAAAGTAACAGGTTTTTCCCATGCTCCCAACCCAAGCACTCAGAAAAGTGCAAAAACATGCATTATGAGAAAGATTTTTAAGCGAGCAACTTTTATATTTATTTATTTATCAAGATGAACAGACAGGCTGGCATGCACCACGCTTACCAGCAACCCTGGGGCCTGGGTCTCTGTCTCATAGCAGGGACGGGAGGTTCTGGGGCTTGTTAGGGATGGGGAGGGAGGAGTGGGGAGGAAGGGTGGGGGACACGTGCGGAGGGGACACTGTGTCTTTAGTTCCGAGATCAGCCTGTGATTTGGAAAGCCAAAAGCAACTTGAAGAGAATGTTTGGGTGATAAATAGAGGAAGAGAGGGAGGCCACCCTCCTATTCCACTGCCATCACTGTAGAGAGACGGGTGATTTGCAGCCTTCCCACCTTCTGACAGAAAGAGGCTGACCTGACTTCCACGGCTAAGGGATCTGTCCTCTGCCCTCCTCGGGGGAGGGTCACCTGTTCTGCAAAGCCAGGAGGAAGGTGCAGCCCCATCATGAACCCGTTCAACTGAGCGCGGCAGCCAGCAGCCCTAGGATCCCTGGCATTGCCCTCAGCCATCCGTAGACAATGGCAAACACCGGCCCAGCCTGGGCTATGCCAGCTGCATGAGAAGATGCGATTTAGGAGATCCACCCGCAACACCAAAAACTCATAAGTACAACCCACTTCTCCTAGACCCATCCCTTAATAGAGCGGCCGAGTCTGTGCCAGGAGTCACCCCAGAGACCCTGCCCTGCCTGGTACTCAAGGATCCTGGCAAAATAGGGATTAAAAAATACAATTTTAAAGCCTCAACTTTTGCCAGCCTGTCAGCTGCAGTTTTGAAAATTAAACCCAAGATGTTGCTGCTGAAATGTTTCAGATATTACTTTCCGAGTTTTAGGCAGATTTCTTTAATGCCCATTGATTTCTGGTTAAAAAGTTGTACCTATATGTCTCATTTCAATTTCCTATTTAACATTCACTGAATCATAAATCCATTCCTAGAGCAATGGGAATTTAGAGTTCTTGTGACTTTGAAAGACCATTGATCCTGTGTGCTCTGAGTGGCTGAGTGTGAGGCCTCTATGGCAGGGTTAACTCATGCTGCAGCTTCCTTAATGGCTGCGAGTTTATGTTTTATTGCATATCTGTTATTTGGGTTGGGCTGTGATGAATGGTTTGGCTGCCCGGTTCAAAACAAGTCCAAGGCGACAGCAGAATCTAATTTGCTTTAAAAACGGTGATTATAAAGCTTTTCAAATAATAATCCAGGAATGAGGGAAACAGAGAGCACGTTGCTGTGCATGGGACATATGGATGGAGGTGAAGCAAGGACTTCCCTCCTTTTCCACAGGCAGCTCTTCTCATAATGACCTTCACTAGGGAGGCCAGGGAGGGCTTCTCTTTCATCGGGGGTAACAGGGATGCTGCCATTTCCTTGAAAGTAGAGCCATTAGCTCCTATTTTGTCCCAGACCAATTCCCATGGAGCGGGCTCATGCACTAGAGGCTTCTGTGGCACCAGGTACCAGGACGGTGCCTAAGCAGTGCCCTTCTCTGCCTAACGATGCCATCGTGGGACATCTGAGTGCGATGCTCAGTGTATCCCCCAAGTCCTTGAAGTCCAGCCTTGGCCCCCAGCTCTTAAAAGGCACTGATCTTTTTCGTTGCAGTTCCTTTTTCAGAGGGGCTTGAGTGCACAAAGCACTGTCTCAGAGCTGCCCGCAGAGAGCATGCTGCTGCTTCCCTGATGTGGAGGGCGGCTCACCCTGTCATCTGCCCCGACATCTACTCTCTTTTCGTTCACATCCTGTGGGAATAGCATCATCAAGAGGGCTCCGTTTGGGGAAGCTGGTTGGAGAGGAGCTTGCGGGAGGTGGATGCTGAGGACAGGAGGGGAGGGAGGGTCTCGTCCAGCATGTGCAGGTCAGTGCCTAACAATGGGCTCTCCAGAGGGAAAAGAGAGCCCTCACCCTTTTGCAGCATTTGTGTAGTATAGATTTCTGTGTTGTAAACACTCCTACTATGGCTGACTTAAAGCTACCAACCATTTCACCGTTTGCCTTGCAAAAGTCCTGAAAAATCTAAGAATCGTCTCACGAGCTAGGTCTCTGGAGTTGCTGATACTTTCATACATTCTAAAATTTAGAGATTGATTTCATGGAATAAGCTCCTCAATCCACAAAGCAAATCCCTCCCACAGCAGATTGAGCCTACAGTCATTCACACCTTATTATGAACCACCAGATGTAGATATGGGTTTTAGCCGTGGGCAGGAAGGAGGAGGTTGGGGAGCCACACCTAGTCACCGTATATCAAGCAGAGCCCGGGAACTGGGGGTTGGACTTTGGGCCTTGGTAACAGGGACGTCGTGGACTGGAAAGGCACCGCCTGCAACAAGCTCATGGACATTTCCCACAGGGAGGAATCACACTCATTTTTCTCCTCTTAGGTCACATGAGTACCTCTTGTACCTGCCACAAGAGCTCTTCTTGCCAACAAATCACAAGGATTTTCAGGCCTTGTGAATGTTTGGAATAACAATAGCACACAGAGATGTCCACGAGGCAGGAATACCTTCCTGGAAAATGGAACTCCAGGTGCAGGCTGGGGCCGGGGCCGAGGATGCCAGGACCTGTGGCTCAGAGTACTCAGGGCACCCTGGGGACCTCATCCCTGCTTCCCCAGTTCCAGGGCCTGCAGTTAGGAGCCGTGAGCTTGCAGGTCATGTCCAAGGGCGCCTCACACAGGGCACACACATTACCTGCTTTAAGCAGAGCCTGAATGCTGTCTGTCGTAAAGGGACTTCAACTCTTTGGGGCCAAGAATATCCCCTCTTGTCTCGGGTTAGGGCCCCCGCATCACCCTTCCCTCTCCTCTCCTAGTGAGCTTGTCTGCTGTTACCTGGGGCTCCTTCCTGCATCTCACATCTCTTGGAAGCCCTGTTCCAGCCCCAGCTACGGCTGGCGTGAGGTCATGTCTTGGGGCAGCACCTCAGGGAGAAGACCTGCGTCCTTCAGCTGCCCTACCCACTTGCCATATGTACTAGCGACCCCACAGAGGGTCCACTCCGGGCACCTCCTCCGTGTTCAGGTAGAGCACCCCCTGTCTCTTCTCCAGGGATTCCCCTGCCTCTCATTAACCAGGACCCTTGCTGTTCCCTCTCCTGCCTGGCCAAGCCTCCAGCACCCTCCTGCAGGATTTACCCCCAGGTACGGTTCCCTGACGGGGCCAGGCCACTGCCTGGGGGAGAACCCTAACATCTGCTCCCCCCATGTGCAGTCACAGAATCCCCTAGCGATGTGAGGCAGTGCCCTCCTAACCGTGCTCACGTCCCAGTCCCGGGTCCCTCAAACAACAGCAACAGCACGAAGCAACTTTATCCAAAAGGAGCAGAGCGAGTCCCCCCGCAACCCCTACCCTCCTTACTCTTCCCTTAAAGCTCAGGCTTGTTGCAAAACAAATTCAACTGCTTTCACCTATAGAAGAAGCCAATCTTGGAAACAACCAAGGAGAGACTCCGGGCCCCTGACACCATTTTGGTGCAGCAATGTCTGTTTGCCCACTGCGAGCCCCGACTGGGGCCTGACTTACGGAAGGCTGTGTAGAACTCATGGAGGGTCAGGAGGCCGTCTTTGTTGTCGTCATCAAATCGGAGGAGGTCGCCTGGTGAACACCCCAGGAAGTCCTCTTCCAGGCCCTGCTCCTTCAGCATGTGCTGCGGGTGAGAAAGGGAGCAAGGCTAGAACCGGGAGTGAGCTCAGAGCTGTGGGCACTGCTGGAAAATGGCTCAGGCCAAGTGGGTGGGGCTGTGCTCACCAGCCTGGTTTTGTGTGTGTGTGTGTGTGTGTGTGTGTGTGTGTGTGTGTGTGTGTGTTCGTGCGCGACTCCGGGAACAGCTCGGTGGGCCATGAGGAGCATCGAAATCTCTGGTATTGTCTTCTTTGATTCTCTCATTTTATAGATGAGACAACTGAGGCTCAGAGAGGAAAGGGACTTTCCCAAGGTCACCCAGTGATTGGGGCCGACTCGGGATTAGCATTCAGGTCCGTCTTCTCCCTGCCTGGGCAAACAGACCCCAGACAGTCTGAGGTGGGAAGGATCCTGTGGTCACCTGATCTACCCCTTCATGTTGTAGATGGGGAAACAGGGAAGAGAAGGGGCCTGATCAAATAAGCCCAGCAAACAGTGGCCAAACTCAGTGGCTCCCAGCTATGTAGAGCTGGAAGGTCACTGCTCCATCAGTCTTCCCCTCCCCGCCTCCACCAGCTCACTCCAATCTCAGGGCAGCACATCCTAGCCACAGCACTCCCCCCGGGAAGTGGAAACTGCCATTCTACTGACCTAGGCTTGGGCCCCCGTCTCTGCCTGCCCTGTCTTGCCAGGAACACAAACCACTACCCTTAGGATTCTGTCGCGGGGACCATGGGGGAGCCCCTGTGAACTCCTCTCTGGATGTGGCCTGGGCCACAGGGCAGAGGTCTCCCCAGCATGACCAGTCACCTTTTGGCATGTGTGTCTGGAACTAGAGTCTTGCAAGGAAAATGCCCAGAAGGAAATCTCAGAAGAAAGAAAATGATTTTATTTTTGTGGGGAGAGGGGAACAGAGGCATTTCCTCTTTATTTAACAGTCTCAGCTGGGCCTGCTATGTTAAATGCAATTTAATGTGATAATGTTAAAAAAATGACCCTTCACCCAGCAAGTAAGTGTTCGATAAAAGGGCGATCAACCGTGACGCCCTAAATCAATCTTCCAAAGATGGAAATTTCCCTTTGTCTATTTCTGTATTGGAAGTTGATTAACTTTTCATAGGACTGACAAGTTTTTCCCTGACGCCTCTGATTCAGTGTCAAGGAAAGGCCCATTTTAGCTGGCCCCTGCTCGGCAGATTTATGAAATGTACTTTAAACACGTTAAATTTTAAAGAGGAAATCATAGTCCAATTACCATGCTTGTTAATGGCTTCAGGTGCCTCGGGGCATGTCTCTGCCAGGTTAGAGCAATGCGCCCAGGAAGGTTCTGTTTACCTGGCAGCTACCGGGAGCCACGTGGGCCTGGGGCACCAAGAGCCCACAGCTGCCTCTGTTAAATAAGGAGAAAACGCCTGCCCTCCGGGCTCCCCGCACAGCCTGTATTGCGGGGAATCGAATCGCCAGATGGCTCTTCTCACAGGTAACCGTAACTAACAGGACCTGGGCTCTCCCCAGAGCGGCGTGGGTCACCTGTGGGTCCCTGGCCCTGCCCCTTGGGCTCCTCAGCCACAGCTGGGGGCTGAGTGTTGCTGGAAGTGGCGACATGCAGGCTGGCATGTGCCTGGGAGGCCTCCCGGGGTGCGGGCCGTGGATGGACTTGTGCATGCTGCCAGGTGTGGGTGAGCAGGGGCGGGTCTGCAAACGCCTTAGAATCTGTGTTTCCCAACACACGCCCTGGAAGCAGGCTCTGGAGTGGCTGGACTTGAGAAGGGGACCCTGCGTGGGGAAGCGTCTGGATAACTGCTCTGTACTCAGATTTTATGGGCACCTGTCATCCCCACAGACTTGGAGAGGATCAGGTGGAGCCTGTGGTGGGAGCCCTCCCCCCAGGGAACCCCCTGTACCGTGAGGAGAGCAGGTCCACTCACCGCCCTCCACCCCCCCGGACCCCGGGTTTTGTCTTAGTTCACCGTGTTCTAGGTGGTACACACTCTGCAGGCAAGTCTCTTGATTTCTTGGATCTGCTTCCTCATCTAAAAATACTTGGGAAGGGAGGATAACACCAGCACCTACCACACAGCAAAGGGTGGCTGAAAGGTTTAAGGAGGAAATGATAACAACAATAAAGGTGATGATGACGAAGTGATGCTGACGGCTGTCACTTACTGAGAATGTGCTGCATGCTGGGCACTAGGCTGAGAACTTCACATGTCTTAGCTCATCTGACCCTCCTGATGGCCCTGCGACAGTCACAGACAAGAAACGAGGCATGGAGAGGCGAAGCTGTCTGCCTAGACCCACTAGGTCCCTGTAAATGCCGGAGCTGGACCTGAACTCAGGCAGTCTGACCGTGAAGTCTGCGTTCGTAGCTATTCTACCTCCGAGTGAGGAACACATCTGTGTTGGGCACATCACAAGTAAAGGGCCTTGCTTAGTGCCGAGCCCACAGTAAATGTCAGGACCCTCCCTAGCCTGGTCCTTCCTGGTGACCTGGTCACAGCTTTGATGAGGTCATTGCTGTGCCTTGTGAAGGATTTCTTTAGAGTGGCATCAGAGGTGGGGACTCATCCTATTACCTGTCCTCTGGTGGGGGGCACTCTGTGGTCTCTGGGGCAGAGCTGCTAGGCCCTCCCACCCTTCCTGGGGAGGCTGACCTCATCCTCCCTCCATATCTTTGCCCTGGTGTGGCTCCAGGGCCCCAGGCCCTCAGAGACAAACCAGCAGAGTAGGAGCAGGAACTCAGGCCCTCGGGGCCACCCAGCCTGCCTTTCTGCCACCAGCACCCAACAGGCCCACCCTGCAGCTGGCCTGCCTGGTGCCCTAGGTTGCTCCTTCCTCTCTTCGTTTTGCTGCAGATGCTCCAGGCCCTTGTACCACCTTGTAGCTGGACAGAGGGACACGTGTGCTGTGCCTGGGAGGGAGGCCCCATCCAAGTGTTTTCTCAAAGGGAAGAGCAGTGTTTGGGGGTGGCCACAGGGCTTCCCGCAAGCCAGCAGGCTGGGGTGCGGGCTACTGATTCCTGTATACCGCAGAGGGCTAGGTCCTAGCGGAGAGGACGTGGGGACACCCAGGTCACAGCTCCAGCAGTGTTTGGCGGGAACCAAACCTGCTTCCTTTGAACCTCTCTGCTGAGGACAGCAAAGGGCTCAGGAAGAAAAGACTTATTTCCTAATGAAAACCTCAGAGCCCAGCCGGTGTGCAGTGTGTGTTTCACCAGCTAGCTGAGAGTGCCTCAGAGCTTCTTTGTAAATATTGGCGGAAGGTGGCTGGTGGGAAGGAGACACTGACATCGTTCTGTTTGTCAGATGTCCTCAAGAGGTGTTAAACACAGGCTCTCCGACTCCCGGGAGATGGCTTGCTCTCGCAGGAGCAAGGCCTCCTCGGCATCCCGTTACAGCGATGGTCACAGACGAGTCTCCCCGTGTGGACCTCCCGTTTCTCCTCCTTCACGCGCGGAAGGGGAAACTGGATTCCTCCGTGATGCAATTTCACCGAATGCCGTACCCACCTGGGCCAGTTCAGAGCGGCTGAGGTGGCCGTCCCCGTCTACATCCAAGTCCTTAAACAGAGATTCCACCAGGAGCCGCTTCTGGGAAGCAGGGTCTTGTCTGCCGTCCCCTTCATGGAGTGGCTGCAGGCGGGCCTGCAGCGCCAGAAGGCCCTTCTTCAGGCGGGCGTCGTCGGCCATGGTGCACGGGTCACCTGGAAGAGAAGATGGGGTTATTGCAGCCAGACTCCTCCCCCGGCCTCGAGAAGACCCCCATCCACCCCACCCATCGGCAGTTACTGGGCATTCACTATGTGCAGTGCAGGGTGTTACCGGAGTGCATGAGACCTATTTGTCCGTCTGTCCACCAGTCCATCCCATAAATATTTATGGAGCAGTGGATACATGCTACACATGATGCAAATGCTGGAAGGAGCCTGTTGGTTCATCTCGCAAATGTTTATTGAGCACCTACTACAGCCAGACACAGAGTGTTTGCCAGATGGAATGGGGAGATTCATCCAGGGGAAGTCCCAGCACAGCCCCACAGCGGCTTTAGGAAAGCCGCCCCGATTCCATATTGTAATAGCTCATCTTTGCCTTAATCCTACCTTAAAGGCTGCTTTGGAATCCTTGGCCTCATAGATTAGCGAGTTCCAGTTAACAGGACTAATAAGCCCTGCTTAAGTTAATTAGGTACACTCCCAGGGCTGGATTACTTCAAAACGAACATGAGTACACAAGCCTATGGCCAAGACACAAAACGCAGCTTTTACAAAATTAAAACCAAAGCGCACAGCCCGTTGCTCTTAGGCCTTTTATCATGGCCATGCTTGGTCCACAGCATCCGAACCATACAGTGTTTTGGCAAATGAGGCCTGTGAGGCACGGTGACATGACATAGTTTATCTCGCTGGCAACAGGCCATGAGGATGCTTGCTCCCCGCACAGGGCTGCACCGTGAGTGGAGGCTGTCCGTTGTTAGCGAGCGGGAGAGCCTCTCTGGCCCCACTTCCCCACCTCCCGGGATGGAATATGTACTCCAGCACCTGGCTTTGCTGAGCCCTGGAGCATGGGTGTGCACTCCTCATCCAGTCCAGGGTGAAGCCAGTGCCCTGCTGGGAAGGGAGTGTCTGGGGCCTGGGGCGCGTCCCCTTAATTCCAAGGCCAGTTCAGGGCACCAGGTCATAGCTCAGGGGTGCTGGAGCGCACTGGATCTGGAGTCCACCGGGTTTGAGTCCCAGGTCTGTGGCTGCCTGAGTGTGTACCTTGCACAAGGTGCCTCAGTGATTTCATCTGTGAAGTGGGGAGAGCAGTGCCTCCCACATAGGGCTGTTAGGAGGGTTAAATAAGATACGCACATAAAAGGCACAGCAGTGGTTTGGCACCAAGTAAGGGCTCATAAAATGATAGCTACTCTCCCCCTTGTCATTATTGGAACCACATTTGCTGAAGAGCAACAAACAGGGGAGCTGCCTGGTGGGGAGAGTGCTGGTGGGGAAGTCTGTCTGTTTCTTTCTCTGCCTCCCTAGACAAGCCTGGATGGTCCAATCGCTTTCTTGTGCTTGTTTGTGTTTCTAGATTTTCTTCCAATTTGGGTCAATTGATTCTTGTCAGAAACAGATGGCTGTTACCATCTCCTCCTGCATGTTTATTTAGAAAAAAATCAATTGCTGTGTTCAATATAACCAAACCTATTTGCTCTCTGGGAGTTTCTATGCTCTGACAAGAACAACTCACCCACGCCTCTTTGGCGTTGTAGCGTATCCATTCCTGGGAGCTCGTAGGACCCCCGGTTGGCAAACCCGATTCTCAAGTCTGTACGGCGTTGAAAATTGTGGCCGTGTCCCACGACCACACACTCACACCCAGGGGAAGATGTGGCGGCCTGCTGGGCTCTGCTTCCTGAGCCTGGACAAAGGTCAGTCTGGGGAAAGTAGAGGAAGAGCTTTGCCCAAATCCTGGCCTCCAGCCTCCAAGAGGGTGAAACTAGTCCTGGCAAATGGATGGAAGCTGGATGCGGTATCTGAGTGGAGAGAGAAGCTTCGGTGGAGACGGCAGTGGAAGTCTCTGTGGGGGGGATCTGCAGGAACCTGCACTGGAGGGCCTGTCAGGCTTTCCTGGGGACAGGTATTCATGCCCAGATGCTGGGAAGCTAGTGCACACAGCGGATGGATATGGGGTTGATAGGAGGCTTGACTCAGAAATGCTAGCGTACCGTTAGCCTCCTAAAAAAACACACTACAGCAGGGCCACCTGAAGGATGGGCCAGGCCAGGTCAGATGGGGAGAGATGTCTCATCCTTGCAGGTCCTCCCAACCCTCCAGTCTTCCTCACAGACCCTGGTGGGGCACAGATCTCCTCTGAGCTGCCTGCTGCCCTAGGCCAGGGGTCTGAAGCTAGACAGCACCTCCCACTCTGGCAGGCCAGGGAAACCTTCAAGGTGGGTTCTGTCAGGTGGACTGCAGCAACCTCCCCAGGCTCTTCCCCTCTTATCACATCCCTACAGTTCACTGTCAGTTCACAGTGGCTTCTCAACCCTGGCAGCTGCCCAGCACATGACTCATGTCAGGAAGGTATGTACATGTCTAGAAATCAACTTGGCGGAAAGAGGTGGGTGCCCCCAGTCTCCAGGGCCAGCTCCCTGAGCCCCTGGTCTGGCCTCCTGCTAGGGCTCATGCCAGCCATGCCCTCCCATCCTTTTACCAGCATTTACTCATAAACTCTGTGCCTGATGCTGGGCGGCACTTTGAGGATACGATGGAGCTTCCCATCCTGGGCATCAAGGGTGCCCGTGGAGGGAGAGCTAACGAGGCCAGGGTGAAGGAAGTCTCCCTAAGGATGGGACCTGCAGGATGAGGGATCTGTGGCCAAAGGAGGCAGAGGGAAGGGAATGCCAGGTCACAGGGACTGCAGGTGCAGGAGCTGGCGGCACAGTGTGTCCGGAGCCCAGAGGAAGCTGGTGTGGCTGAGCCGGACTGAGGCAGGGATGGGGGCACAGACAAGGCTGGAGGGAAGTGTGGAGCTGGCGTAGGATGCCAAGACCTGCAGATCACACTTTGCCAAACTTCCCGTGTCCTTCTTTCCTTTACTGAGGGCCTCACTGTGCCTGGCTGCTGCTGGGCATGGGGGTCCTGAGATAAACTGAGCTGCTCCTGGAAGATGATTTGAAATCCTTCTTTATCCCAGGAGCACTTGCACTTTACATGAGTTTCAACCTGGAATAATTAAATCATTGGCCCAATGTTCCTGAGCTCCTCTAATATCCCTATAGTTCTGGGCAACCACGAGCACCAGAGGAAAGACACCCTGATGGTGTCACTTTAGATTCCAAAATTCAACCTCTTTCAAGACTTCTGATGCTTCATCTCCAGGAAGGACTGCCCTCTCAAAAGCCTTCCCTTTTGGTTTCCAGGATGAGTTTACCAAGTCCCAGGTTTATTTTTTTCATTCACAACCCCCCTGGTCACACTGTGGGGTCAGATGGAACAGCTCATCAAGGTGGAGCGTGGGCATCTGTAAAGGTTCCCGCCCTGCTGCCAGTTTTAAACCTTTGTCTTATTGTAAAAGAACACACGTCCATCAAAACAACAACAACAACAACAAAACACTTGGAAAGTGCAGATAAGTATAAAGAAAGAAAATAAGTTACCCATAATCCCCTTCCCAGAGGCTGGCCAGAGGTGAAGCCAGGCCCTCTGCACAGGTGACCCTGACTGTGAGCCGTTTAAACTAGTGGAGCCCTGTCTGGCCTTGTGTGTTGCATGGGGCCCGAGACCCGGCCCACAGAGCCTCTGTTTTCAGATCTTCCTCTTCCCTTATTCAATTTGGGCAAGAGCTTCAATACCCAAGCATTGGGTCTTTCTCAGTATCATGCGGGTCATCACTGCCCGCCCACCCAGCAAGTCCACTGGGGACTTGAAGAGGTAGGGGGTGTGGAGGGAGAAACAATCTTAACAGCACCTACCACACGAATGTGCTGCTTGGGGTTGGTGTTTACTGCTCCCTCCAATGTTCTTTTATTTTTCTTTATATAGCAGGTTTTTGTTAGTTATCTATTTTATGCACATCAGTGTATACATGTTAATCCCCATCTCTCGATTCATCCCACCACCACCACCCCCACCGCTTTCCCCACTTGGTGTCCGTAAGTTTGCTCTCTACATCTGTGTCTCTATTTCTGCCTTGCAAACGAGTTCACCAAAAAAACCCCATTTTTCTAGGTTTCCCATATATGTGTTAATATACGATATTTGTTTTCTCTTTCTGACTTACTTCACTCTGTATGACTGTCTCTAGATCCACCCATGTCTCAGAAAATCTACAAACAATAAATGCTGGAGAGGGTGTGGAGAAAAGGGAACCCTCTTAGACTGTTGGTGGGAATGTAAATTGGTACAGCCACTATGGAGAACAGTATGGAGGTTCCTTAAAAAATGAAATATAGAATTACCATATGACCCAGCAATCCCATTACTGGGCATATACCCAGAGAAAATCATAATTCAAAAAGACACATGCACCCCAATGTTCATTGCAGCACTATTTACAATAGCCAGGTCATGGAAGCAACCTAAATGCCCATCGACAGACGAATGGATAAAGAAGATGTGGTACATAAATACAATGGGATATTCCTCCAATGTTCCTTACCCAAACCTCTGCCCGGCTTACTCTTCACTGTATATTGGCCACAGCAGAAACATCACCCAATCTAAACTAGCACCCCCAGCTTCATAATTCTCTGTGTCCCACGTCTGGGGTGGGCCTGGGCCCCAGGGATGGACCCTGCCCCTTTGGAGGGCAGGTCCCTGGAGGGGATACAGCAGAGGCTTGGGGACCACAACACCCCTCCCTGGTTCCCCCGCGGGGGCTGACCCTGATGATGGTGAGAATGGCCATGCCCAGCCTGTCCTGGGAGCCCTGAGCCTGGGCCTCCGTGGCCTAGCCTGCAGTACGGTCAACTTCCTCACTATTGATCCAGGGTGGGTGGGACTTCCAGAGAGGACTCTGGAGAGGAGGACTTTTGTATATGATATTGAGGTCTGTGACTTGAATAAGCTCACCTGGAGCTGCCCAGCTGGGACCTTAGGGGACCTGCTTCACGAGTAGGCAGACTAACATAATTTGTACATGCTTGGAAAGTCATTTAAGTGTTTCCTCTGTGTCTTGGTGTTTTCAAGGAAAAGAAAAATTTGTGTCATTATAATATGGG